AGCACTGTCTGACGCATCTGTCAGAGGGATGAACGTCATTGAAAAAGACTGATTGAATATGCTGAACGTGGCTGTATCTTTCAGCATGGCATTTTCTTATATGTGCTCTCGTCCAGGTTGATGATCCGCCCATGCCGGCATAGACTGAAACTGATTGGCTGCTCAATTTATCTTGTTCATCTGATGTCTCCACCTCATGATCCTCAGCTGACAGCAAAGCGATACCATATAAATGAATGTGCAGGAGATGCTGAAATGGAGGACTTAGATTAATGATGAGTGACGAGCTGAACGGCGAATCAGTTTCAGTGCATACCCGTATGGATTGGCCCAAATCGGTATGAAAGCATTGTTGCTTCGGACGGAGGGAGGCATATACGCAACTTCCTGTTGATGACGATGACAGCGGGGTGTCAACGCTACTGTTGACGGCGATGGTGAATAAGACAGCGACAATGAGTGCCGCCTAACGGTTGTCACTCAATCTACACAATTATATGAACGCTTCAATAACAATAACAACTGCCTACATTGTAGGTGAACCTCATTGTACATTCATTGCAATTCCTACTGTCATATGTAAAACTGCCGGATTCAGGACTACCTCATTATTTATATAAATATACGAGGAGGTAGCAAATATTTCTGCAATTTAAGTGCACACAATGACGCAAACGTTGTCTGCACTTTTGAAAATACTCTTTATATTTAATTCACGGTCAAAAAGAGACATGTGCAGGATTGTTGGTCAACAGGTGATAAAAAAACACTGGATTCTGCAGACTGAAACACTCTCTGTAACCAAGGACTGAGGAAGCGCATTGAAAAGCAAGCGTCAGTTGTACGGGACGATGTTTTCTCGAACCTGAGAAGATGAATTATTAATTTAAAAGCACGGCAAATCGATTAATCAGTAATGAAGTTGATTGCTTAATTTAGAAAGGCAGGTAGGTATCACCAGCACTAACACGTCAGCAATCACATGATCCATTAGCATAACAATAACACTCAAAAGCCACAAATTAAGGCATACTGATGAGACAAAAACGAAAAATTTAAAACAGAGAGAACAGACTGTGGGAAAAATGATACGATGATGAATGAGGCCTCAATGCACGTGTTAAAGTTCAGACTGCTAAGCTGCTCATGCCAGTATGGACTAAAACCGATTTGTTTCTCAGGAGAAGAGTGTAATATCGCGACTTTGCTTGACTGTTACCAAGTCTACCCAAATAATTATGCCTCAGCATTGTTTGTCTGCATTTGTAAAGCAGATCTGAGGTAGGCTGAAGTTTAGATAGTAGTGCGTAAAAGTCATAAATCACCAGTCTGGACTGAGGAGCGAAAATGCCTCACTTCGTACCCAAATTGGCGGACTGCGACTCTAAATAGCAACATACACATCATAAGGAAGGCGTCGATTTAGGCAGATTCAGCCTTCCCGTCCTGCCTTCTGTAGAGGCTAAGCCATCTGCGGTATCGCAATTTTCTATGCTTCAGTTCTTGCATCGATGCATAGAAACTTGGACCTCGTGGACTGAGAAATCTAGATGCATGTTAAAATAACTTGGTGCTGGGGTGGAAGGGATGATTTAATGAACAGATGGCCAGATTGGCAGAACCTGGAGACACGGTTTTTTTGCAATTTATTTCATGAGTCTTGAAACTCAACGAATGGCTTTGCATATCGCTGTCGATCAGACATCTTTCCCGTTCTTCCGCTGCTAAAGAGTTATTTACTAATTACGCATTATTAATCAAGTGGCTTGGGTCTGCTCAATCCTTCTTTTGTGGCGTTCCTCAAGACTAGCTTCTACAATTGCTTCTTATAGCCAAAATGCCAATTCAGGGCCAATAAAGACTTGTCATCTAAACGATTGGAACGATATCACCCGGTTTTACTAAAGCTACAAACAGGTATAAATCGTTGCGGATATAGCAACAATGTTTGAAGACCCCGGAGTCCGCTCTACACTAATAAGATAATAACGCCAACAAACACTTCATTCATTCAGGGGAAAAGAGCATGAGTGCAAAACCTTTGGCAACAGTAATGCACCGAACCTGACAGGTCCTGACAACCCCAGTGATATTAATATGGTCACATTTTCCCATTCCATTTTTCTTGCCGATGGGTCATCAATCGCCACTCCGAAGGTACGCGGAACGATCACAAGTTTCTCCCACGCTTTCATTAGCACTGACATGGACGGTTGTTTACCAATCGCCATGTCTTTCATTCACGCGCTACCGTCGTAGTTACAGCAGTCCTTGAATGACGAATAAAAATATGCAAATTTTATTAATGTATAGGATTTCCGTTCCCTGGAAATTCGTTTTCGACGATAATCAAGTTAGACCGTCAAACAATGACATCATTCGTCATTTTTATTATTAAATTAGCTGTTTATTTCCTAATCTAAAAACTGCACTTTGCTCCCTTATGCGGGAAGTGAATATGCTCGGCATATTGACTTTATTACAGAAATTATCGACCTTGACAACGAGCGAAGTATGACTCGAAACGTCGGTTAATTCTGTAATAAAATGTGTGTACGGAACAGTAAAATGAAGAACGCGAATATAATGGTTTTACACATAGAAACGTATTAGATCTTTTGCGCTTACTAGCATGCTGCAAATTTTCGATACCGCCAGTGAGAGAAACTGCGTATTCTGTTTTGTTACCGGATTGAAACGGTGTAACAGCACCGTCCCGTTGTTTGTGATATTTAAGTGGTGATTAAATTGTATTTAAAACCAATGTATTTAAATAATGGACAAGAACCAATCTGTCACCGGAGCACTAACCTTGGTGCTTTTCTCGACGAAATGCAGGTATATTTCCTTGCCGTCTACAAGCAGCATGGTGAGAACGTCCTCGTCGATTTCGATGTAGTCCTCGTTGCTCAGCGAGGCGTACTTCTGAAAAGCTTCGAGCAGGGAACTTTTGCCGACGTTCTCCTGGCCGATGATGAAAACGGTTTTGTGGCACAGTTTCGCGTAGTTCGTGTCGTCGGTCAAGGAGTCCACCTGCGACGTGGCCGAGTCAGAGCGGTAGCTGCGGTGGCCGGCAGACGTGCCCAGGCCGCTAGACGACGAAGCATCGCTGTCGCGGTGGACATAGCAGTATCCGCGTTCGACGAGTTTGCCTCGACGGTCGATGCTGAACGACCTCACCCGCTCGAAGTCGGCACTCTCCGGCAAGCTGAGGAAGCGCTGCTCGACGGAGGTAGGTGCAGTGATCGCCTCAAGCTCCGGCCAGGTAGTCATAGTGTGGGACGAGTTCCTCCACGCCGTTGATGCAGCGCTATAAGCT